AGCAGCCATTTACCATCCAGAATGGAAGTATTTCAATATTTTAACAATCAGCATGGCCACACCAGTGCATACAGCTAACTTTAAGGCATAATTTTAACATAGCCTACAAATGTCCTCAATAAAAATACTAATGACAACTTTCGTTCTTTGTCTTGGGTTTCAGTGGTTTGCAAACATTCAGTTTAATTCTTACATCTGTGTGATGGTGGGAAAGGATCAACTACCCTTAAACCCTTGCCATCAACAAAAACAAACATAAATTAAGCTTGTATCCCTTTTTGCTATGGACAAGGATATTCTCTGGCATGTGTTGGATGCAAATACTAGCTGAGCAATACCAATATTGACAGCAGGCATGGATTGTTTTGAAAATCCCTTAGTTCAGTGAGTCACAACCTATAGATCTCTGTCACTGTTACCTATCCACTCAGTGTCCCTGGGCACTTAGCCTGGCAGCTTTGGATTCCATGTCTAGAAAATCAATGTAATTATGTTGAACTGGCATCCTCACAGGTAGGTGTGAACTCTTAAAAAGTAATATAGAAAGCTCTATGCAAAGGTCAGATACTATTATTCATATTATTTAGTATAAGAAATTGGGTGCCGGGAGACAATGGAGAAGAAAAGAGATGATAAACATGGCAAATGGAAAGACTGTATATATTTATATGTATGTCTAAGATACAGGCTAAAGGCATAAGCAGGGAGACCAGAAGCTCAATGTAAACAGAAGGTTGAGGAAAGTAACCTGGGTCAAACATCTCAGGAGACAATCAAAAAAGTGCCAGAGACAAAATTCTGAAGGTGTTGAGGGCCCGGGTGGGAAGGCAATTTGTTATGCTTGGTAGATCCAGAAAGAACTGTGCATGCCTCAGACACCTGCGGCTGAGAGAGAGCTGTGTGTGTGTGTGTGTGTGTGTGTGTGTGTGTGTGTGTGTGTGTGTGTGTGTGTGTGTGTGTAGACAGGCAAGGCTCAGCTGTCTAACTAAGTGAGCACCTGTAACATGCAGTCTGTAGGTTCCAAATGACTGGCTGATTACCTTGGAGGTTTGAATTATTTACTATAGAGGAGGGTTGCTAAGTGTTTGGAGAGTTTCTATGGGTTGAATTGTGTCCTCCAAAAAAGATGTATTAACGTACTAACCCCCAGGACCTCAGAATGTGAACTTATTTGGAAATAGGATTGTTACAGATGGAATTCATTAAGATGAGACCATACTGGAGTAGGGTGGGCTCCTAATCCAAAATGACAGGTGTCCTTATAAGAAGACAGCCATGTGAAGACAGAGACACAGGGAGAACCCTTGTGACTACAGAGGCAGATACTGGAGATTTGCTGCTGCAGCCTAAAGACCAAAAACTGCCAGCAAACTGCCAGAAGCTGGAGAGAGCAGGGAAGGACCCTAGAAACTCTAGAGGGACATGCCCTGCTGACACCTTGAAGTCAGGCTTCTACCCTCCAGAACTGAGACTAAATTTTAGTTGTTTTAAGCCACCCAATTCATGCTACTTTGTTAGGGCAGCTTAGGAAACTAATACAGACTGGACAAGCCTTTGACCCCAGGACAGGAGGAGAACCCACTTTACCTTCACCGCTGGCCACAAGAGCAGCTCCATAGAAGTAAAAGGGGGCATCTGTTTGCGCCATGGGCACTGCCCCTCAGGTATTCACAGGCAATGTTGTCATAACCGTCCCCAAGACAGTCGTTAACAACAAAGCCATGCAGCTTGCAGGGGTCACAGCCAGGGAAATTAAGAACCTGGGTTTTTGATGGTTTACTGTGCTGCTGAATCAATACACTCTGGAACTACTGATCTCTATACTTACATGAGAAACTTAATTTCCAATTGTTTAAGTCATTTTGCTCAGGGTAATTTGTTAAATACATAGTTTCTATGTTGTACATTTTTCTCTCCCTTGTAAAGTAACCTTCCCTGTGCCACAGTATGCTACTGACAAACTCAGTTCATAAAGAATTGTACTGATCTTGCCTTTTACATTAACTCTTTTACTATACCAGGCAATATTTCCCCAGTAGCATTGTTTCAAAGTGCTATCAAACAAAATGCTAGGCAACACCTAGGATTTTTCTTCTACATTGCTGAGTTGACACCGTTTTTACCCTGTATCTTTCAACTGTAGTGGTGTCCAGATGAGGCAGTGAGAGGGAACGAGTGGAGAATGTTAACATATGATAGTCAATTCAAGCTGCAGCTTCAAGCTGCCCCAGTGAACTGTGCACTTGGACTGCTCGTCAACAATTGATTGTGGTATGGTCACATTCCATTAACTACCTGGTTTATAGTACAGCCTATTTGAATTAAATATTGCAGTTACTCAAGCTGGTAAAATAAAAATGGAAATAAAAATGGGAAAAGAATAATTTGGTTCAATATCTCAAAAATAAAACAGGACCAAGGATCTTTCAGCTGCATTTTCAAAATAAGAGCGCTGGTCTCCTGCAGTGGTTTTATCCCACTGGCATTGGCATTGCATGCACTACTGTCATAGTTAATCTAAACACCACTTACTCACACAAGCAGAAGTGAAAGCGTATTAAGATCAATATACGCTCTGCAGGCCATCATATCAAAGGAAAGCAGAGTTTGCCACCCCAAAATATGCCTTTTGGGATATTGATTTTATATGGGCTTTTAAGAATCCAAAGACTCAGAAAGAAGCTTTGACCTTCCCCCTAACTGCCTAAAGGGCATTTAGATAAACAACCTGCTCCAGAAAGAATACATCATCATAGATAACTACAGTTTAATCGGAACTAGGTAGACAAGGAGGAACCTAGCAAAGCCCATTTGTTTTAAGTCCCCTCTGTGTCCCATTGTGACTCTGAAAACACCAGCTTCCTGTGAATTAGAAGAGAAATGCCATCTTCCTTGTTATACCACCCAAATTTGAGTGAAGTGGCCTCAATTATGCTCTCCTTAATAATATTTAAAATCTACAGAGAAATTTGCTAATGCCCATGTTGTAGAGCCCTCCTCAAACTACCTTCCAAATTCATCTTCTCCTTTGGCTTTTTAAGCAATTGAGTTATGCATCCAACAGATGTTTACTGAGCACCTCCCCAGTCTGTAGCAAGCACTACGCTGAGAGCTGGGCATCCCAAGTCCCTGCCAGAGCTTAGAGTCCAACCGGGAGGCCCGCCTGCCGACAATCCCAATAGAACGATCGTGGCGGGCTAATGAAGGGTAAAGGCCGCAGTGGTCATTTAGGAAGTGGAGCCTCAGTGTCAGCCAGGGGGTAGGGAGGGTTTCCTGGGGGAAGATGCACTTGAGCTGAAACTTGAAGGCTGAGGAGGAATGTTCCAGGGTTCTCAGGGCCACTCCAGACAATGGAACAAAACATGAGAGGGTCTAAGGGAATACTATATCAGGGTGAATTTGGAGAATTACTTGCTGTTCACTACTGCTGAGGCACTAAGCACAAGTAAACTGGAGGAAAACAACCTGAGATGAGGCTGGGCAGCTACATAAGGGTTGGAATTGAAGGGCGTGAACACCATCCAAAGGAGTTTTGATTTTGTCCTGTGGTGTTCCTCAAAGTCTGGTTCACAAGATCCCTATGAAAATTCTTGTTTTGTTTCAATGATTATTTTATTAATGGTAAAAACATATTCCAGATCATTTTGATGGCCATTTGCCACAGAATTTCAGTGACCATGCTTATATTTATTATTAAGCTGACACCAAGCCAGAGATGTACCAGTTAGAGGCCAAAGGAGGAGCTATTTGAACAAAGAGGGCACCCCGGCTGAAATAGCGTAAAGTGGTGGGAAAATTGGGTTTCCACATGGGACATCGCAGTAAGTTTGACAAAATAACTTAAAATAATCTATGCTGTAATGCTTTGAAACATATTCACTTTGCAAAGGACAAGTGAGGGTCACAAAACAATGCCATTTGTCTCAGTAAATTAAAGGTGCTTACTTGAATGTTATTGGCTTTGTCGTTGTTTTTTTGTAATACATTTTTTTCTTTTCATTTTATAGTTCTATAAATGTAAGTGATTAGGAGTTTATTTTTGGTTATGGTTTTTAAAGCCTATTTAAGAAACATTTAAGATTTAAGTAAATACTGGAATCTGTAAGGTTTTTCTTTTTCTCTAAAATGGGTCTGTCCACTACCCGAGTATGAAAGAGGGGGCCATAGATGACAGGGAGCCACTGGAGAAATTTGAGCAGGTTGGTGTGAACCAATTACTGTGTAGCAGGTCACCTTAGCAGTCATACAGAAGGACAACCATGGGGACAGAATGGAGCTGGAAAGACCTCTAAAGAGATGACTGCCCGTGTCCTCTTATTAAAAGAACCCATTGGCTTAATCCCAGAGAGCCGCTATCAGGCACAGGCCAGAGTACTGTGGAATTAAATGCTGACTTCACAATCAAAACTGCGCCTGTGTTTTAGAGTATGCCTTATCTAGCTGGAAGATCCTCCAAACTTCTATATGCACCATCTCACAGAGAGTTCCGTGATGATCCAAAACTAAATTAGGACTAAATCCCAGGTTTAATTGGGAAACAAAAAAATACATAAGACTAGCTGCTATATACCTGGTAACAACAGCAAACCCAGCCAGGACCACTGCATATAGTTCTGTGGACCAGTTGGAGCTGAAATCTCTCTTCATGAAGCCCTGTGTCACTGAGGCGGCATCTATCGAGGGAAGGTGACTTTTTCTAATTCATATCAAAGCTGGATGAATCTAAGCCTTGACCCTTGGCGAGGGATGCATTTTCTGGAGCGGATACCATTTCCTAATCGCATGAAAGTATCCTATGGGCTAGCTGTGATGTGACTTAATCCTGCTTTTCTGAAATTATGTGGTATCATGATCACTCACCAAACCAGAACTCTTACAGTTCAATGAAGATAAAGGATTTTCTTTTTCCTGAAAACTTTGTGATGCATACAAATTTCCCATAAAAAGTCATAGTATCAAGGCACTCAACAAACACAAAGAAATAGGTGCCCTCTACTTACCTCGGGGGCCATCCAGAATGGGGTGCCAACAGACGTGTTTCTCCGTAGACGTGTACTGGTGAGTTGAGCTGACACACCTATAAGGAAGGGGTGTCGTAATTGAGCAGTGAGCAGAGCATGACGCTAGACCAGGAGTTGGCAAACTTTTTCCATAAAGGATCAGATAATAAATATTTTAGGCTTTGTAAACCATATGTTCTCTGTCACAACTTCTCTGCTCTGCCATTATAGTGCAAAAGCAGCCACAGATGACACAGAAACAAATGAGTGTGGCTGTGTTTCCATAAACATTTATTCATAGATGCATATAATTTTCAAGCATCATAAAATATTCATCTTTTGATTTTTTCCCCAACCATTAAAAAATGTAAAAACCATTCTTAGCTCAAAAGCCATACAAAAACAGGAGCCATACAAAAACAGGTCAGATTCAGCAGAGCCCTGCTTTGCTGAACACTATGTGGGAGCATTCATCACTCTATCGAAATCACTAGAATATTTTTTGTCCTAATAATCGTTTCTACCCATATTGCTGCAAAATTGGAATAAAAAGAAAATAGCAACAACCAGGATCAACTAAAAATATATTCCTATCATATTTCCAATATATTTCAGGAGATTTCTTTCTTCATTTTATGGAGAAAGAAAATTGACATGTATTATCTACAATAGAGCATCAGTGAAGACATAAAAACTTTTCAGTGCCTTATCTTACCTAGAAGCCTAGAAAACTATGTTTGTCAAATGGAAAAAGAAATTGACTAATATTATTATGTAGGGCTCAATGCTGAGGGCCTGAATTTCAATATAATTCCAATGTACTTTAATCTGTCATAGCCTTGAGCCAGCTCTCTTCTTTATACCACACGGGAATAAAGTGGAGGTAAATGTACACCAGGTTAGGAGTCAGAAGACCTGTTTTTCACCTGTGCTATGCCTTTTCCTAATTGTATGACCTCTTGCAGACCACCTGGCTCTAAGCCTCAGTTTTCTCATCTTCAAACTGGGGATAATAATACCCATCACACCTAACAGAAAGAGTTCTTAAAGATCAAACAAGAGTACACATATGAAAATGACTCATAAATTGTCAAATATTTTACAAATATAAGGTATTCTTTTATACCAAGCAGAAATCAAATGCAGCTCTTCAGACAATGATAACGGTTGCTGTTAATGTTATTGGTGAGGAAAACTTAGAAACCTAGATATGTGTGCTTATTAGCAAAGGACACACTTTTGAAAACATGAGGCACAGATTTGCCAAGGAACAATGGATTGTTTGGGAGTGGGGAGGGTGTGCTAGCTGCTTGCATTCTCTATATTAGAAATCCAAAGAGGGCTTTATAACTTCTATTGGCCATGGATAATTTCCTATTTTACACATTCCTCCACTACAATTTTGGTAAAACAAAACAAAAAGTACACTTTTCTATGTTCAATTTCTAGATATTTCTTTTGCAGCAACTGGAAATTCGGGAGCCTTCTACTGGAAAAACTAGGAGCATTTACCCTCATGCCAAATCACAAAGCTGGTACCAGAGTGGGTAAATCAGCATTAATCCCCACTCTCATCCTTCTAGGTTCTTTCCCTCGCATATTCACTGCCCCCAGGATTGTGTGGAAAATACATCTCTGATGTTACACACACAGCACATTGGTGAAATTAGAAAATTCCTTATATAGAAAGAGGGGCATGAGACTTAAAGTGCGCCCCCCTGCTATTTTTCTTTGCTTGCTCTTTGGTAGATAGACCAATACACCTAAAGTAACAAAATTTATTTCTGAGTAATTTCTTAACACTGGATTATTTCTTACCAATAAACCAAAGACTATTGAAAAACATCAGTCTTTTCTCCTACTATGTTGACATTGATAAAGAACATCTTAAAAAGTGCTTCTTTAAATGTTTTCTCATTTTTTGTGACAATCATGCTGAAGTACTAACTGTTGTTGAACTCATTTGGAAGATTAAATCATTCAATAAACTTAAAAAGGAAAACCAAATGGTTTGTTGATTTGTGAATATCAATACCGGAGGCTCACAAGGGCATATTTAATAGCTCTCTGGCCTTAGGTCATATTGCTCTGCCTTTCTTCTCACACGTCCACTTCCTGTTAATGTTCCCAGTTCAACCAACCTCACGTGTAGCAGCAATAATCACAATTTAAAGGGATGTTAGTTCCCAGACCCAAAGGACTAGTTTACCTTCTGCTCACTGGGAATAAGTACGCCTAAGGCTAGAGAAAGTCATTTGAAAGACCAAACTGCTTTGTCTTTTCATATGCAAAAGAAGAAATATCAAAATGTAAATTATAGACAATAGCCCTGAGACGTGAAACTCTTCCCAGAAAAGCAAAATGATTTTCTGTCAAATTCTCCTTTTGAAACACTTTTATTTTCTATCTTTAATAAAATTGCTTCTAAAGCTGAAAATAGATTAACAAACAGCATCTCCTAGGGTGATCCATCTGGTAACCCCCCCACTTGCCAGCCTGTGTTTGACTGGAAGAGTCCCTCAGCCTATGGCGTAGCGCAGGGGCCCTAGTCTTCTGAGATTGCAATAAATTGTTGCCCTTGGCTAAACTGCACACATCAAGAAAACAAACGACAAGCAGTCATTACCAAAGTCAACAAGCTTAACTCCTCCTTCTGTTGTCAGAAGAATGTTATTCCCCTTGACATCACGGTGGATGATTCGGTTATTGTGCAAGTGCTGAAGGCCCTGCGTGGCATCCACCACCACACAACAGGAAAGAGAAAGGGAAAATGTGCACGGTTATTTTAAAACAACGACAGTGCTATTAACAATCTAATCAAAGTCCACATTTAGCTAACCCCCCCTGCTGTTATACACCTTATGGGGAGGTTTCCCCCTTGTTAATATGCATTGGGGATCCAACCCACCACAAATTTCCCCTCTGCTGTCATCCCCAGATCACTGGACTTGCTTACCAACAGAGCCCCATATAAGATGTATGAGATCACTGCTTCGTCCAACCGCTGGCCAAACCTGAGGAGACCTTTGACAAGCTCGGTGACTGAGCCCCCGTTACACAGCTGCAAGAGGAGGCACAGGGCAGAGGGACAACAGCAGAACACATACAAAAAGAAAAGAAAAAGAAGTTAAGAATAAAAGCCCCATGTAGTAAAATAAATCTGCAGATCACAAAACCCCAGGTCAAAATAATTAAACTTCAAAATTCCATTGCACAATTAAATCTAGTTGTGTGTGTGTATGTGTGTGTGTGTGTGTGTTCAAGGTGATGATTTATGAGTGAAAGTGCATGCCCAAAAAGTTGATTTTTTAATTGTCAAGTGAAATATAAAAGCACAAGTCGTTATTTAGAAATTCAAAAGAGAAGGCATGGTGACTTCTTGTATATTTTTCATTTCACATAAATACTGTCTATTTTTTTAAATATGCATTTTGAAGATAAGAAAAGACCAGAAGAGTCAAGATGGATGCCCCCAATACTTGGGAGGGAATGCATTTCAGATCTTCCTGGCACTGCGCGCAGCAGAAGCCCAACCAGCAGCTCTTTCTGGTGTCGCCACTGCATGTGAGACTTATGGAGTGGAGCTGCATCATAGGTGCATTCAACCTTCCACAGTCAACTTTAAGTATTCAGCAACTTTATGCTCTTCTTTTTCTTTTCTGTAATTAAAAACGCCGTAAAAGTGTATCTTGCATACTTTTCTTTGTTATGTATTGTATATCACTGAGATTTGAGAGTACGTAAACCAGGTATACTATTGCAGTTTAAGGGTTTTCTTGAATAATTTTTACTAGCTGCAGAAGTCAATGTGCAGGTTTGGGTTTGCTACTTGTCATCTTAAATCAAGAGTTCTTAACTGGTTTGAGCAGGGCATGTAAATACCTTGAAATTGTAGGCAGTGTGTACAGGCATCTTGCATTTTTCTAAAGAAATTCAGAGCTTACATCAGATTCTCAGAGCCATCCTTGTCCTCATAAAGGTTAAGACCCTGCTTTAGAAACTTACATTTACTCTTGGCACTTTGTCTGCAATTTGAGAGAGTTAATTAGTGAACAGTGAGGAATTTCTTGGGTTGTGGCTGCTTGAGTCAACTGGCTTTTCATAAGCAAGAAACTCTGAGGGAGCACAGATTAGCATCTTTCCTTTATAAAGACAACTTTTGATCAAGATAATATTGCATTAGGATCTATTGGACTCAAATTATGAACATCTGCAACATTTTATTTGGGTATCATTCCCTCCTACATACATGGCAGATACCTGCACACACAATAACAGGATAACCTATAACCAAATCTGCCCATGTTTTGACCATTTAAGTTGCTCATAAGCAAGAGTATGTGACTAAAAACCTAATGAAGCATTAGGAATCTTTAAAACTCTTTAGGAGGGACCTTAGAAGCAGTGAAATGCATTGAAGGCTCTGATGGTCCCATGGGTTTTGAATGAAGTGTCCTTGGAATCCATTTTCTACTAATGTCGTGTATAACTTGTAACTCAACACTGATAGCTCTGATGACTCTAATGTTGAATACTAGGGTAATTAATGTCTTCCAAAGGATTCCAGATTCTTTCCATTCCAACTATGTTGTATATGACCCTCAAAGGGCAAATAACACTCAGGGAGATAGAATGGGAAGAAAGAAAAGATTCTAATAATACTAAGTCCTAGCCCAAATGATTGAGCTTTGAACTGGACTGTGAAGTGGGATATAAATACTAGAATTTGCCGCTTCCCCCAAAAGTCACTCAGGTGGACTGAGTTTAACAGAATGAGTTAAAATCAATTGTCTCCTCTAGGAAGGCTGGGGACTCAAGGACAAAGTTGAGCTTAGTCTCTGAAAAAAAGTTACCTCTTTGTTCTCAGTTTGTGACTGTCCATTTTATACCCATTACTAAAACATGAATACACACAGTCTCTCTCCTAGAAGAGCCCACCAGCACTAGGGGACACATGAGTAATTAAGAGTATGACATGAGGGACTAGGGGCGTGCTTGTGGTGGCACCGAAAAGGGAATGGTAACCTCTGCTGAGGTTCGTGAAGAGAGGACGATCTGAGAAATCTTCCTAGAGTTTGTAACATTTACAATGAGTTTGAAGGACAAATGAGTGTAGGGAAAGTAGACAAAAAGGGGAAGGGCATCCCTGGAAAAGGAACATCGTGTGCAAACGAAGGGAGCATGAAAGAATAAGGAGTGTGTGTGTGTGTATGTGTGTGTGTGTGTGTGCGTGAATTCTAAATACTCTGCTCCTGTTGGAACAAAAGGTACCAGGATCCTAGGGAGATGGGGAAGGAAGGTGGGAAACAGGGAATGACAAGTCTGCCCTGCTAAGGAATATGGGCTTTATTGCTGTACACACATGTATTATAATACCAAAATATGCCATTAGATAAGAATAGTAAGCTATTGACAAGTTTTAGGCAGGAAGACTTTTCAAATTTGCATTCTAAAAAGATGCCTTGGGCAGCAGATTGGACAGAATGAGAAGACACCAGAAGCTGGACATTTGTTAGGAGGTACTGAAGCAATCAAGAGAGGCAGGGTCTATAGGTCAAGAGTCATGAGGATGAAGAGTCGGGGACAGATACAGAGGCTTTTATGAGACAGAATAGACATGGACTTCTGACTAATTGTATGTAGAAAGTGAAGAAGAGCCCTGGCTGGTTTGGCTCAGTGGTTAGAGCACTGGTCCAAGGACTGAAGGGTCCAGGATTCGATTCTGACCAAGGGCACGTATCTGAGTTACAGGCTCCATCCCTGGCCACGTGCAGGAGGCAACCAGTCAATGTGTCTCTCACATTGATGTTTCTTTCTCTCTCTCCTCCTCCCACTCTCTCTGAAAAGCAATGGAGAAAATATCCTCAGGTGGAGATTTAAAAAGAAAAAAGTGAAGAAGAGACAGTCTAAGGATCTTGTGAGAATCAAAGAAATGTCAATAAGGTTTTTTGATCCCCTAAAGCAGAAGCAGTAACAGGAATGCAAAGCACTATAACACCTTCTTCAGAACCACTTCTCAGCCTGGCTCCTCTCTCAGGGAAACAGGTGCTTTGCTGAATTGCAAGTGCACTATTAAAATTCTACCCATAGAAAATGTAAATTAAATACCGAGTGATGATCCAAGCTAACTCGACTCTGGAATTTTCCCCTGAAATCTCATTTCAGTCTCTCTCCTGCCCTAGTTTAAATGTGGCCATTTTAGCAACAAGAGCTTGTTCAGAGATATTTTATATAGGTAGCTAACTTATAAACCTTCTTCATAGCTCTAGGACCTATGAAAGGATTAAGAGCAGCCATTTGTCAGCAGGATCAAAACTAAGCTGTGGGTTTAAAAACAACAAAAGGATCTTGACTCAGTTGGTGCCTTTAGTTCACTAAATGTCAGAGTTTAAGAGCTCTCTGACTGCCTGTGATTCACAAAGAAACATATAATTAAACTGCTCGGCGAAACTTTAGAGGAAGTTGTCCTGCTAAGTTGATAAGCTGCCTGGAAAAGTTTTAAAGGGCAGCCCGTGGGTTATAGAGAAAACACTTTGGGTACTTGCATATAAGAAAGGGAAGCAGGTAAGCACTTACAATTGTCTAACCAGGGTAAATGTTCAGTGAAATGGAATGAACGTTTTAAAAGCATGGCAAGAAATTATATTTAAATATATCAAGTAAAATAATGCCCTTAGAGCTTTAAGAAGTCAACCAAGCCACTGCTGAGGGTTGGAGCATGCAGCCTTTATTGCCACCCACTCTGCCAGCCATCAGCTTCAAATACAGAGGTGTGTCTCCATGCCTGCATTCCTCCTACGCCTCAGCATTCAGCAAATGTGGCAGCCGGATGCATCTAGAATGTAATGAGCATTTTGCTCCAAACCAAGAAAAATTGAAAAATCATTTATGTACCACATCTATTTTCCAAAACATCATTGAATATTGATTCAATCACAGTATGGGCATTTGCTAAGATGGTCATAATTTCAAGCAATAAAATGTTCCTTGCTCAATTAGCCATCAACTTTCCTCCATGTTATTAAAAAGTGTGATGCAACATAATCACCAGACCTTTATTCTAGTCGAAGCTCCAACTTTCAAATAGATTCTGCACTTGCATGTTTTTTTGTTTTGTTTTTTAATTTTTGAATCCTCACCTGAGGGTATTTTTTCCATTACTTTTCAGAGAGAGTGGAGTGGGGGAGAGAGAGAGAGAAACATCGATGTGGGAGAGACATATCAATTGGTTGCCTCCCACACGGCCCTGATGGAGGCTGGGGATTGAGCCTGCAACCAAGATACGTACACCTGTCAGAATCAAACCCAGGACCCTTTCTTCAGTCCCCGGGTCGACGCTCTAAACACTGAGCCAAACAGGAGAGGGCTGCACTGGCATGTTGACTTGACCTAGTCAGGATGCAGAATGAAGAGGAATTTCTCTTCAGTGTCATTTTGTTCAGTGGACTTTATCTTTCAAAGGTGTTAGGTTCCAGAGAGGGAGTAAAACAAAAGTCAAAGATCATCAAAAGTACTCTAGAAATACCTGAGGAAGCACCGTGCTTGCTGGACATTGTCCACCTCTCAGTAAGGCCAGGACAACATATATTTTTTTCTCTACACTGTTGGGAACGATTGTGTTTGTTTTGCTGATACCAGGTGAAGTCACTGGTTTGCACCTAAAAGAATGAAAACTATGCCACTTGCAACCCTAGAATTCCAGTCAGAGTGAGGCAATGCTCATACCACAAGAGGTAGGTGGGCCCCAAAATGCCCACCTTCCATCTCAGTCTCTCTCCAGGACACATGCTTATTGAGTAGAACAGTGGGTGGTCAGAATCACTCCACTCCTCAGCTTCTAACTCTTTCTCTATTTTGCTGAACACATACAGCACGTATGTAGGACGCAACTCTGATCCATTTCAAAGTTCCTCCCTTCTTCTCCACTCCCAAGGGTTCTGTGCCTTCCTCCTGGCCCCCAGAACTCTAGTGACTCTCATTCTAGAATCCTGCCAGAACCTGCCATCTGAATCAATGCTTCCTAACCATCTCTGGCCAATCAGATCTCACCAGCCCTATATTCCAGACCATCAGAGTCCTGCTGTGACCCTGATTTGTTAATGTGATCAACTTGGTTGATGCTGCAATGTCAATAGGTGAAAATGGTTTATAACACTTGCAGTGATATTCAGGCCGATGCTGGACTTTCTGGAGCCTTCAATTAAAACAAAAACTGGACAGAGGTGTCCCCCTCCCAGTACCCCTTCCAATTGGCTTAGTTACTGAACTTATACATAGATCTCTGGGGGGGAAAAACAATTTAAAAAAATTATTTTATCCAGTTCAAAATGAAGAAGTATTTTTTCTTTACTTTACAGTCTCATTTACTAGTACCCTAGATTCCAAACCATTTATTTTAAGTTAAAGACGTGATTCATGCTGAAATTAATAATATCTACCTGCTGAAGTTTTAATGCTGAAGAGAAAATGTAGTTCATGTCTTAGCGTATACTATGTGTTTTTTCTGATTATTGTGTTTTCCTTAAAGGTCTAAATTCTTATTATATTTAATTTAGGTGAGAGATAATAGGACTTACACATTTCTTTAAAACTATGTTTTTATTGATTTTAGAGAGAGAGGAAGAGAGACTGAGAGAGAGAGAAACATCGATGTGAGAGAGAAACATAGATCAGTTGCCTACTGCATGCACCCCGACTGGGGATTGAACCTAAAACCTGGGTAAGTGCCCTGACTGGAAATGAACCGGCGACCTTTCAGTACACACGTTGACACTCAACCAACTGAGCCACCCTGTCCAGGGCAGGATGTATCTATTTTTTTAATTTAATATTAACTTAGAATAAAACTTATTCAGAAATTCTCCAAAACATTATTCTGTGTGAGTGCCTTCTCTCCATATCTTTCTAATACAGAAGGTGCCTGTCATGAAAGAGAGCTTTGGTTTACTTTCTGCCAACAATTAGTAATGAATTTTAGAAATGACGTTTTTATTTGCTTTTGTTTTCAGAGCTGTGGTGATTTAAGGGGGTTGTTAATAACATTTTTCTATCCTTTAGAATTACTCTGTAGAGTAGCTGCTCACTGGTCCTTTCAGCTCATTCGGCAAGCAAACAGAAAAGGTGACATATATTTAATCTCAATATGCATGGTGAGAACAATATTAAACAGATCATGGTTTTATTGTGTGAGTCTCCTAAAGCACTCCTGAAAAAGCTGCCGAGGGAGCAAAGCTGTCACGGTGCTGTGTGGACATCATGGTCTTCCTGTTATGAGTGTGAGAGAGACCAGAAACTGTGATCCCAGCCAGACAGCCCAGGTCTGTGTTCCAGGACCTCAGACAGCAGCGCGTGATGGGAGAAAGTGCCCAAGTTTGGTTCTCCCTCCAGTCTGCCATTTAACTCATTATGTGACTAGAGGCATGTTTCTCCTTCTCTGGGCTCCATTCCTCAACTGAACACTAGGGGACTGTCCTGAAGGAAGGCTAAGGTTCCTGCCAGTTCTAGGGGCCCAAAAATCCCTGTTTCTATCTGCATATTGCGGGCACTGGACACACTTAACCACCCAGCAAAGTGGCATAGAGGGCCCATTCCGGGACAGAAAAGACCTGAGGACATCTAGTTCCCTATTCCACCAACTTTGGCACAGACCAAAACAATCTGCAAAAGGCCTAAATGTCAGCAACAATTCAGTGTCTCAGGGCAACCTCTTATCTGTCTGAGGTCACCCTGAAAAAGCAAGATAGTCTGCAGGAGAGCATATGCACAGGGCTAATCGTTCTGGGCTCCTTTTCATCTTTCAAGACCTCGCCCAGCGCTTCCCAGCTACCTTCACCCCGCCTGAAGGGCCGACCTTTGGTCTCCCCTTATCGGGAAGGGCATTCATTCCCCAGGTGGCCACAGGGATGAGCAGCCCACTTGCCTGCTTGACCACATCAAGGAGAGGCCTCCTTGCAGGCCCTGGACAATTCCTGGAAGTTCCAGTTCTCTATATTTAAATACAGAGCCTTCTTTAATCACGGGATAAAAATGAACAGAAACTAAGGTTTCTGGGACACTATACCTCCATTATTAAATTATGGTGAGGCTTAAAACCTGGAGATCTTACAGAGCTGAAGAAAAATATAATCAGAGACCCTAAAAACAGTACTTTCCATGTCCCAAGAGAAGTGGCACTTTAAAAATTCGTGTTATTCCGGAGCTTCATTGGCAGAATAAAATTCATAATATTCTCAGGGAAGCGAAGGGGAGTAATAAAGTCCCAAAGATGACACCACAAGAATGACAACCTGCCAGCTAAACAAAGATGGTTTCTGAAAACCCAAACCCCTTACGTCTTTATATTCTGAGGAAGGCAATTGATGTGACAGAAATGTTAAAATTGGTTTTCCTGCAGATTATCCCATTTGAATATAACAAATTAATTCCCCATACATGGTTGCCATGGCCACCAGTGTATATTTCCCCAGGCCCTCCCAGAGCCAGGCAGAAGATTCGGACAAGAGGCTAGACGATGAATCAAGGGCTGGCCCCTCCTTCAGTGTTTCTCTCTTACGGCTTTCACGTGTGTCCATGCACTCCTGGGTCACTATGTGACCTTAGGCACAGAGGCACGTGCCAGTTCAGAGGGAGAGAGTCCAGAACAAACCAGGGCGAGCCTCGGGAGTAAGCAGCAATAGACCTACCCTAATATACTAATTTCATAGATTGTCATGATTGTATCTTTGCCATTTTAGTCCCAATGGGAATTGGATTTGTGGGGAATTGACTCTTCCACACATTCATTCCCATGAATAAGGGAGAAATAAGGCAGGACACAGGGGATACAGTGGTGCTCCTTTCAGATTTCCTCTTCAGAGCAGATGTTGCTGGGAATATTGGCTGCTCCCTGCTCCCATCTCTCACCTACAGGGAACTTCCCCACACCCCCAACCCAAGGTCAACCCCACCCCCACCACAGCACCCAGCCAGTGATTGGTTGATGCAGAGAGGCAAACCAGGGCAGCTCTGCAAGAGCATACCAGATCCCCAGCTCCCAGAGGATAGGCCAAAGCCTCTGTTGCAACCACATTGCTGCTCAGGGTCTCCCTTGCCCAATCCCGCCTTCCTCACTTCCTTCCAGGTCCATCTCCTGCATCATCTCTCCAATAACCCTGCTATACACAACCTTCAGAATCAGTTTTGAGAAAATCTAATCTAAGATGAGGATTAATGAACATAAATGGGCTAATCCAAACTTGCTAAGCCAAGTAAATCTTGGACTAACAACTTTTGAAAATGAATGGTAATCATGTTTTCTGCAAAATGTCCCCAGTATAGGGAAGAAAATAATCTTTTCCAACTGTATTCCTGTAGTCACTCAGCATTAGAAAAAAAGATTGTTAACATTTTGAAGCAGAAAAACCCATTTCTAGTACACAGCCCACCTGTACGAACTGTGGAGGAGAGCGCCACATCTGGTAAGGTACCTGTGACACGCAGTGGGGACAGACTTCTCACATGTGTATGGTACAGTATTTAAGCAAAGACACATCTGCATGCCCCTGGAGCTCTGTTTGAGTGAATAGTTACCCAACAAGAGCCTCTTACCTCTAGGACCAGCCACAGCTGTCCTCCCACACAGTCATCTGCTTTGTAAAACATCCCATAAAACTTTACAACGTTGGGATGATTAGGAAGAAACTGCAAAATGTTGTATTCTGCCTCGATCTCTTCATCCATATCCTACACAGGGTAAAAGAAAGGCATGCTGGATTTAGTTCTAATGCGTGAGGAAAGGTCCAGGCATGACATCATGATCAAGTAATCACTTAATGACGCATATTCATTCTGTATTTTTTAATGTCATCATTACCACTTCTTGAATATACCGAACAATGGACATTCAGATCCCAAATAAAATCTTCTAATTATTATATCAATACAATTTCTTTATCATATCCTTTTTTCTTTAACATTATTATTATAAATATTTTTTTTATTTTAAAATGTCCAAATTTTGAAAGCAGTTAAGGAGAAGTATATTGAAGGGACACAACACAGGATAGGACACCTATAACCCTCTGTGTAAAACGGTGTCCAGCATTATAACCTCAGTGTTCAGGGCTCTGAAATGAGATGCCAGGCAAAGATGATTAAATACCACATGTCTGGGTCACTTTGTAACTTACAGAGAGACCAGCCCCTGCATATGCCCAGGGAGTGGGATACATCACTCTTTTCAAGAGAATAACCTTTGAAGAGCCCAGAGGGCCAAAATCAAAACAATAGTAAACTGGACAAGAAACAGAAAGTCAAGGAAAGTTTTAACTCTAAACGGAGTTAAGTTTTAACTGTAAACGGAGTTAAACTCCAATGAGCTGGCAAATCATGACTCGTTTTGAGATTTCATGCCAGGTCTCATGAAAATTATCCCTAAAACTAGGAGAGAAGTTGAAAACTCAATGTGTCTGAAATACTATATTGTGGCTACAATTTACCGCCGTTACTTACACTGATTGGATCCAGAATTTTTACTGCAGCCAGGCTCCCATCTCTCTTGTTAGTTACCTTGTAGACCTTGCCATAGGTGCCTTTACCTATGGTCTCTATAATTTCCCAGGTATCCGTGGGATCTGGAAGTGATTCAAAGCCAAGCATCGTGAGGTTGTAACGAAACAATCCATACAAATGGTTCCTGGTGGGGAGAAAAGCGTGTTATGGGCAACAGATCACAGGACTGAGGACACTAGGCTTTCAAAAGAATATTTTTATTTCTCAACCAGCAACCTTGTGGTACTTTTTCTTTTCATTTTCTCTTTCTATTTTAAGTGAAAGAATTTTAAAAGTGATTTGAAGACTCCTTAAGAAATGAAGGTATAAGTTAGAGGAGTTGGCAACATGACCCTAAAACACCGTTAAAAACACACCATTTTTAAAAGGGGAGGTTATATAAACACTGAAGGAGGGAGAAAGGGGGCTAAAGAGGATGTCTGGTCATGAGTAGATAGTTATCATTCTAGGCTGCTGACAGGGGAAGGGTCTACAAGCCAAAGGTCTTAGATCTCCATCCCCAGGTCATGGTAACCATGAGCAGGACTCTCTGATGATCACTGGAAACCAATCTCCAACCTCTATGTGCAAAGTCTGGGCTGCTCAGAAGGATCTGGTGCCTGTACCAGGCATCAGTCAATGCACATCAACCATTGCCAACCAGGCCTTGAGTCCTGCAAGGACTAGCCAAGCTCAGACCCTGTCCATACAGCAGCAGCCTAGTGTGGGAATCACACTGAGTGGTTAACCAGGAACTGCAAACTCACTTTGCCTATTTAATAAGGACGCAGCCCTGTATAGTTTGAACCTAGAATGATGTGGGGGTTAGAGCCCCCCCACACCTGCAGAGTGCAAAATCCATGAAAATCTTTTAACTCTATAGTCAGCCCTTCACATCTGCAGATTCAACCAACCACAGTTGGGAATGCAAAACAACTATTTCAATCTGTGGGCAGTTAGGTGAATCCATGGATGCAAAACCCATAGATACAGAGGGTTGACTGTATTTATTTTTAAAAATCCAAGTATAAGTGGACCCATGCAGCTCAAACTCATATTATTCAAGAGTCAGCTGTACTTTAAGTAGCAGCAGCAATCTTAGTAAGCAAGGTCACCCACAATCAATCCCATGGAAAACCCCCTTCAAGTTTCGTTGCTTCCAGGCTGGATGGGGTCCCAAGGCCAGTCTGCTTCAACCCAAGGGAGAGTCTGTCAGGTTCCAACAGCAAGAATCATGGCCTCCGGTCCCCACACAGTGGCCTGGTGTCCACCAGGGAAAACACTTCTGCCCCATGCTGGGCATTCCAATTTGCACTTCTAATTATTTTCTAAACTGCATTCTCCCAAGGCACAGACTTCTGACCTGGCACAAGAATCCACTTTTTATCTTCACACTTTCTGATGGGAGCATTTCAAAGATATTGAAAACCATTACCAAAACAAAACAAAAAACAATCCCAAAGGCTGTGGGGTTAACACTAGAAGGGAACCTGTCTTTCCAGAGTTCATTTGGTAGGCACGCCACGCTCCCAAGGGGCCTGCAACCAGCAAGGGCCTTGGTAAGGCTCACCCTGGGCTGAGGCTCAGACCCCGAAAGGTGGAAAGGTCGGCTGGTCAAACAACTCCTGCCTTTCATCTGCAGCTTTCAAGATTCTAATGAACTCCAACCTCTCTTCCTGGCCAGTGTTTTCACAGTCAATCTTTCTCACCACATGCGTCACATTGTTTGCCGTGTCTGTACTTTATCTGTCCTATCAGTTACTAAAAACATTTAAAATAATTGCCTTTTCATATGAATAAATATCTTTAAAAGCTCTTTTTATCACTACCTTAAATGTAAAACCAGTATCATTTGCCATATTTCAAAATTAACTGCAAAAAGATGATTACATTAAAAACAATAGTTATTCAAATCCAGCCAGTCACTGCTGCCCCTGCTCTCCCTTTCTGGAAAAGGGAGATCACTGAGTGATGGGGAGGAATTAAAGACTAGCACACACATCTCCCTTCATGTCATCAGAAGACCTGAAAAAGAATTGGCAAGAGAACAACTTGGTCACTAAGCAATTCAGTATTCTTTATTGTGAGATTCCTCAAACCTCTCAACACCTTGAGAACTGCTCCAAGCTCAGTTTCCACAGTAACAAAATACAAGACCAGCCACCAGTACTAGTTAAGGCCAGACCAGCTGGGGTAGGGAGGGGAGGGTAGAGATGTGCTCCCTAGAGAGAAGAATCTGGCCCATCAGCCTAAATGGAATTACTTCACTCTCACCAGTGTGGTCCCTGTTTCTCCATCAACAGGGACACTGCAACTGGGTGCAGGGCAGTGACACAGCAGCACCCAAGTAAAATTTCCTGGCCTTGCCCTGAGCAGCCTTGAGACTTGGCTAGTTACTCATCTCTCTGTGCCTCAGTTCCTTCATCTGCATCATGCGTTTGCTGCTACTGGTGATGCAACCCACTTAATAGAGTTGCATTAAGGATTAGATGATTATAGAGTGAGCACAGCCCTGGCTGGTGTTGCTCAGTGGTTAGAGCATCAGCCGGAGCACCGAAAGGTCACAGGTTTTGATTTCTGGTCAAGGGCACATACATACCTGGGTTAAAGGCTGGATCCCCGGCCCCGGTCGGGGAGCGTGCATGCGCGCAGGAGACAACCAATTGATGTGCCTCTCTCACATCAATGTCTCTCTCTCTCTCCCCTCCCTCACCTTCCCTCCCTCCCTTTCATGCTTTCTAAAAGTCAATGGAAAAAATATCCCCGGGTGAGGACTGAAAAATAAAATAATAAAATAAAAATAAAATAAAATAAAATAAAATAAATAAAATAAAATAAAATAATAAAATAAAATAAAATAAAATAAAAATAAAATAAATAAAATAAAATAAAATAAAGTGAGTACAGTGAGTGCTCAGCCAGTGTCATCTGCTGTCTCACCAGCACAGCACCAAGGTCTGCTTCAGAACAGGCAAGGCTTAGCAAAAAGCTTCCTGTACTATTTCACTGTCAGCTACACACTAAATGAGGGCCAAATGGGTTTTGCTCCAATCAGTTAATAGCTTCCCATGAATGGCTAGAATTTGAGGTATGCAAATGAAATTAAATCATAGAATGTGGTAGAAGGAGAGGGCCCTGGAGGCCATCAAATCAAGTGATTTTCTAGTGATTTTTGGCCTCTGAATCCCTTAGTTAAGTTAAATCTTACTTAGGATGCTGATGTGTAAGTTGAGAGAAGCAGGGCAGCTCTGGCTGAGGTAGGCTGGAGAACCAGTGCCCACCCTGTGCCACCTGTGGGAGGACAGATAGGGCGACCAGTTGTCCCAGTTTGCCTGGGACTCCCTTGGTTTTAACAATGAACATCCCATATGCTGAGAAACCTCTCAGAAGTGGGCAAACTGAGATGGATTGTCACCTAGTACAGGCAGCCTCCTCAGAGAAATGTTAGAAACCGTTGTTTACATACCCCAACACCCACACCCACCCCGCCCCTTGTTATGGGCTAAACTGTATCTCCCTCAAAATTCAAATGTTGAAGTTCTAATCTCCAGTACCTCAGAATGTGACCATATTTGGAAGTAGGGCCTTTAAAGAGGTAATACAGGTAAAATGAGGTCATAAGGGGGCCCTAATACAATATGACTGCTATCCTTATAAGAAGAGATTGGGACACAGACACACACAAAGGGAAGACCATGTGAAGACACACAGGGAAAATGGTCATCTACGAGCCAAGAATGGTGACCCTGGCAACACCATGATCTTGGACTTCCAGTGTCCAAAACTGTGAGGGAAAATATTTCTGTTGTTTAAGGCACTCAGTCTGTGGTGCTTTGTTATGGCAGCTCGCGCAAACTAATACACTCCTTTTTTACAGATAAAGAAGCTGAAGTCCAGACTGGTGGGTGGCATGACTGTTTAAGGGTGGTATAGAAACGAGAACCTGGACCTTCCGAGGCAAGGCCCAGTCCATGGCCTTAGTTCCACAGAATAAAATGGAGGAAGTGAGCAGGTTAACAATGATTATCTCTGACCAACTGCACCGAATACTGAAAAGTTCCATGTGGGAATACCCCCAATGACATGGAGGCTAAATGCCCGACAGACCTAATGGACAGAAATCTCTGCTTCTGCCCAAAATAAGAACTCCCCCAGAAAGATTTGCCTACAATTGGTGCCAATGATGGGTGAATGGGAGGAAGACCAGGGAGGTTCCACTGCCATGCCCATCAGGTCCATCTGAGCATCCACAGTCAAGGTTAAATAAAGGTGCAACAGAACAGGTGCACACTAACAGGGCTGACAGCCTTCTCTCTTTAACATCAATACCCACCTCTATCAACTCTCTGACAACAGATTAAATAGTCAGCTGGAACCATGGCTGCTTATACATCCCTATGAATGTGATGATAATCTGCCCCGGGGAGGCAGCTGGGGCAGCCCTTCCAACAGCCACAAAGCTGCTCCTGGCCAGAATGTTATCCTTGAGGGTAGGCCACACTTCTGCCCTATGCCTGTGTTTGGGCATGACAGAGCTGGAGCCTCGTGGAAATAGCCAGGATTGGCCAAAAAAGAGCCAGGAGAAGTTTGAAATGAAAGGGACAAACCTGGGACCTCAGGATTCTGCAGAAACCTCAGAAGTCCATATGGAAGCACCTGGGTTTCCTGCAGTCCCCCAAATGGGGCCTCCATCATTTATTTGGACATGAAGTGAAAGGGTGACCTCAGGAAGCTAGAAAACTCAGGTTACATAGGTTACTCCTTTTGAGAGACAAAGAGAACTAAGTCTGTCTCGGCAGACGTAAGTTATGGCATTTGCCAGTGTGGGGAAGGCTCATGCATTTTACCAACCAATCAGAAACCCTACTGGCCTGGACTTGCCTGTGTGTGCAGGTGCTCTAAAGAGAAGACTCAGTGAACACTGTTTTTTTGTGTATAGTATTATGTAAGTCAATGCCACAAATGATTTCTCATCAGAGTGACCACTCCCTGAGAGCAAGATTCTGCTGTCCCCCATATTTCTGGAAAAATATCCCCATTCAGTAAAATGTTACATAGGTATCAGAGGAATATTTTCCTATTGTCCACACATCATTAACCAAATATCTAGGAAATGCCAAACTCTTCATTACTTAACCTGATAGT